TTTGTTTCACCATGTTGGGCAGGCTGGTCTCAAACTCCTGACCTCAGGTGATCCACCTGCCTCGGCCTCCCAAAATGCTGGGATTACAGGTGTGAGCCACCACTCCCGGCCACGGCTCTACTCTCTAAACAAGTTGAGAAACCAGGCAAAATTATTAAATCATCCATTTTAGAGCTTATATCATATCCACCATTAGGTTTTAACTCATTTTCGGGAAATTTTACAAAGTTGATTATTAAGGTAGGTTGTCTAGGAATAGAATAGGGTTCCCCTATGTATAATACGCCTTAACCTTAGGAAGTGTTTCAATATTTCGTAAGTGCTTTCCCATCACCATCTAGCTGGACTCCACAATAAGTTGACCCATATGAGATTGTCAGTATTAGACATTCTTTCTCTCAAAAATTCTATTTGCAGGCTGGGCGCAGTGGCTCTCGCCTGTAGTCTCAGCACTTTGGGAGGCTGAGGAGGGTGGATCACCTGAGGTCAGGAGTTTGAGACCAGCCTGGGCAACATGGTGAAATCCCGTCTCTACTAAAAATACAAAAATTAGCTGTGCATGGTGGTGCACGCCTATAATCCCGGCTATTAGGGACGCTGAGGCAGGAGAATCACTTGAACCTTCAAGGCAGAGGTTGCAGCGAGCCAAGAGCACACCACTGCACTCCATGTGGTTCAATCCAATACGTTCCAAAAGACTGAATCTCAGTTTGTCCTTTCCTCCCAAAACGGTACAATTTGGAAAGAAAACATCTCCGAACAAAATTATTAAATCATCCATTTTGGAGCTGGCTCCTCTGTTTCTATGCTTCTCTTTCTCCTCTCCTCCTCTCTTCACCCCATGCCTTTTCTGTTTTCCTACTTAGGCAGTTTCTTAGATGTCAAATAGAAATGGAATACAGGATACCTGATGCTGAAATTTGGTAGGATCCCGGCTGCTCACAGGGACCACACTTCCATACACATGCAGCTCTCGGACTATGGAGACACCTCCCCCCAGTTCAAAACGGAAGGTTTCTTCTGAACACTTGCGTAATCGAAGGAGTCCAATCAAAATGTCTTGATCTGGGTCTTCGTACGACAAGAATGTTTCCCAGCCACCATTTGCAACATAATCTCTCCTTACCAATTCAACCTGTTTAGTAAAAGGCCACAAAAAATATTCAAAATTAAAGAACCAAATTCATTTTTATAACTGTCTGTATTGATTTAGGCTAATATCTAGTTAGGGAGAAGGAATGAATAATCACTAATTATGTTTCTTTTTACTTGTCTACTCTCAAATAGCACCAAGATTAAAGTTCACACTTTATTCTTGGACTACTATAAAAGGAAAACTGTATAATTTCACAAGTACTTGAACTTCATTAACCTTGAGGCTCTTACAGAGATCCAACTCAGTAAAGCCTTCCACGCATTCAACTCTACATGAAGAGTCTCTAATGTAAAAGTTCACACCTGTCACATGTGTAGCTCTCAGGAGCACCCCTTTGCCTCAAAACTGTCAGTGGCTGAATGGTCTGGGTTTCACCTTCTAGTCCTCATCACCTCCACTGAAATATATCTTTGGGGAAGAAAAATGTGATGCTAGTCACCTGCACCTTGATGAAATTTCCAGGAAGTATGGCATCCCACAGGGCACTTAAAATATGCACAATTATGGGATTAACAGGTTAAAGAAAATTAAACCATGGAGTGTAGCTTCTTGGGGGAAGCTCTGTGGTAGCAGTCTGCACAGGCTCTTGGCCCTTCAGCTCATTGTACAAATGGCTCTTGTACTTTGCCTAAAGAGAAGCCATATGTAACAATATGCGTACACAGAGAGAGGTATACACATGGACATGGCCACACCCAGAAACACTCAGTAAATGGGCAGAAGGTAACCAGACTGAGATGAACAATTCAGACTAACACATTCCTTCTCAATAATGTTTGCTAAATAGCTGAACCACACAAATTGTGCTGGGTCTACTTTTTCCCTCAAAAGGTCCTAAATGTGAAAAAGGTCAACTAAGTAATTCGTGCTGAGAACAGAAACAATGCAGAGATCATCTGATTCCAGCCTTTCTCAAATGGAGCTCTACAAGACAATCAAATCCTACAGAAAATTTGGCATACAGCTAGACATTATACAAGTATAAGAGAGAAGTTAATTCAGTGCATATCATGAATGCCTTGAGGCATTACACTTAATTCTTGCGGAGCCCCTGTAGATAAGGGCTGATCTATTCATTCGCTTATCACCACTGGGAAACCGTTGAACAGTTACACATATAGAGAGAAGCAGACCATACCATGCTCTTCCCAAATGGAGCTTGTAGTCACGGGGGACTATTTATAATTAAATTAATTAAAATTAAAGATTTAGTTCCTCATTTGTATAAGCCATATTTCAAGTGCTCAGCAGTCACCATATTGTATAGCTCAGATCACAGAACATACACAACACTGCAGAAAGTTCCACTGGACAGTGCAGGGCTAGAATGAGGTTCAGACTTCGTTTTCCTAACCTGGTTCTTCTAGAATTCTCCTATTTGGCTTTCATGGCTTGACACTGGTATCTAATCCTGTTAGTCTCTGCTCTTAGTTATTCACTTCTGGGGCTCTGTCCTTGGTAAAAACATGTGGGCCCAGGCTTGGCAATGATGTAAGGACAGGACCCGGTCCCTTACAAAATGAAGAGACTAACCTGGTATGGCCGTACTTTGTGATGAATTTCTTGGATTCCAACTTCTCTGGTTCTCACATCTCGACACTGTCAAAAAAAAGTGGTGGTGAGGGGCCACAAATGTAAAACTGGTAACCAATTCAATCTTTATTTTTATTTAAACCTCTCTGCCAAACCCCGGGCCCAAAATTAAGTTTGCACATAACTTACAGTAAAAGAGGTGAATTTCAAAATAAAGCCACCTTTAATCAATTTGAGGGTGGGGAGACCAGAGTGAAAATGTATGAAGTAGTATTGCTTTTAAAATAAATTTAGAATTCCAAAAAAATCAATATATAATATAATCTTAGCAGTAAAGAATGTAAGTCATGAAAGCAAAAAACAGGTTTGCCCGGGGGATATAACTATCTGAAAGTACAATCCAGAAGTACATACACGGAAAATTTTTAAATTTAGGATTTAAAAATCCTAAATTTTTAAAACCCTCTCCATTTTATGGAAGTTAACATTTTTAGCATTGCCATATTTGTATCATTTTAGGAGTATCAAAAAAGTACATGTTGAAGATGGCTTTTTTTTTTTTTTTGTAAGACGGACACTGCGGAAGAAAGGATGAAGGGAAGGGAGGGGTAGGGATGGGAAGGGAAAAGAAAAGAAAAGAAAGAGAGAGAAAGAAAAAGAGAGAAAGAAAGAAAGAAAAGAACGAACCTAGAGCTATGTATTACGTACTCTGAAGCACAATCACAAATGGCTCTTTGAATATCTGAGGCAGCACAGAGCTACCTGCAGATGATGCCATGCAATGCCTGGTCTGCATGGCCAAGCATCTGTGATGTGGCTCTTGCTTCTATTCCACAACCCACAGTGCATGCTATGCTACCAGACATTTACAACGACCAATGCTTTTCATTATTATAAATCCTTGTAATTATTCAATTATATATCATATCCTATGGTGTTATTTCCCCCCACAGAACAAACCATAAACATTTCTTCCAGTGAGAAAAGATCACCATAGGAAATTTGATGACGTCACGTAAGCTTTTCTACTAATAGTATATTTATGAAGGACTGCTATATATGTAGAGTTCCAGGAGAAAAATGAGAGTTCATTATTCAGTTGTAGAAAACCAAAGCTACTTCCATGCCCCAGGAACTAGCTCAAAATAATGCTTTGCTGATGTAGAGTCCATGAATTCCAGTAAACAAAAATTGTACAGCAGATGAAGATGAGAAATCTCTGTAATTATTAATCTACTTAATGTAGCTGCTGGATAGAACTATAGTAGTTCTATACATTAGCTAGCATGGGAATGTATTACTGTTCCATGTTCTTAATGAACACCTTCATGCTGTTTCTTTTTTTTTTTTTTTTTGCATGCTTTTTTAAAGGCAGAGATTGGTGTGTATTTTCTGCTAAAGATGTTGCCTATAGAAACTAGATATCTTTTGGCTATGAGTGAATTCCAGCCTTTAGACTCAATTCCAGCTTACCTTAATAGAGACTAACAAGGCTTATGAGGGGCAAGCGTTAAAGAAGATGGACTGACAATGAGACTGTTGGGATAGGCCGGCCAGGTCAGTCACCTTGGCCTTCTTGAAGGTCAGTGGCCTTCGTGGAGGTGAGAGGAGGTGGACGACAGGGACAGCTGGAGCCTGGGAGGCACAGCAGGCATACAATCTTATCGGTGCCATTAATTACCATAAATAATGCATTTGCTATTTTTCTAGAACATAAAATTGTTCTTTTTTTTTTTTTTTTGGTAGAATAAGCCAATAATGTTCACAAACTCTCCCTTGAACAATTTTCTGAAAAATTTTCTCCATAATAATTTGAGTGAGAGAAGAAAATGTCTTAGGTTCACAAACACCTGTGTACAAATATGTAATCCTTGGAACCATGTCTTTCAAAGTGGAGTCCACGTCTGAACTGGGCATGAGAACCACGTACCTAGTGCCGGATAAAAAAACAGATCAGTCCCATCCCAACCTACTGATCCAGAATCTCTGAGGGCAGATCTCAGGAGTCAGCCCTTGGTCTCAATATCACTCCTGGTTTATCCCTTCAGCAGCTCTAAGAAGTTCCTGAGCACTGAGTGTCAAACCTTCCTATGACTTAAGAATCTCCCATAGAGACTGTTAAGTTGCGGGTTCTTGGGCTTTTTGTACATCCTGGGCCAGCAGAGAGGAGGTGCTTAGTAAGTATCTGTGACCAAAGAAGGAACTTCAACGGCCAGAGTGATGGGAGGGTGGTGTATGTGGGGCCACAGGAGTCCTGGTAGTTATTTCATGCACGTAATCCTTGTCTTTTCAAATGAAAATTTCTTTTCAGGAATCACATCTCCTTTTTCTTCAGTCAAGAACTGAACACCTAATACTTCAAAAGGAAAACTGGTTTTAGAAACTGGAGTGGAGCATGCAGTTGGCAATCCGAGCAGGCAGAAGGAAGCAGAAGGGAATGAAGGAACAGGATCAGCCTCTGCACCACTGGCTGTAGCTCCAGCATGGGCCGGTGACCATGCCCTTCAACATCCGGGGGCTTTCGGACCTGACCCGCAAGTCTAGTTTTAGGTGTGATAGTAGAAGAGTCTTTTGCATTTCAGATTCCTTTTCTCTCTACAGCTGTGGCCTGACAGCCATATTTACTCTTACCTGTATTCCGAGGTCTTTCATTCTTGCAAGTGCCAGCTCTCTCAGGTTACCATGCTCTACTCCTGAGCTGACTAAAGGCATTGGAATATCCCTGTACAGGAGAAAAACATAAGCTATTGCAAATCATTCTCCACAGCAGTAAGGCAAGGATGTTCAGAGAAAAAAAAAACAAAAACAAAAAAAACAAAAACAAAAAAGCAAGAAGCCTATGAAGCAGACCAGGAAATCAGAGGTGAAGCTTCCCAACAAGGAGCTTCTCTAGGCCCCAGCTTTCTCATGAAGGAAATTATGATTTCCCCTGACCTCTTGGGGTTTCTGTGAAAGGCACCTGATGGAAATCACTTTATAAGATTACAGAGTGCTAAATAAATGTCTGAATGCCCAATAACCATTTGTAAAGGTTTTTTGAGTAAAGAGACATTTGTACCAAGTAAATCAAGAAATAATTTTTTTTTCCTTTACAAAATTTGTTCAACAATGTAGCTTACACTTTCCCACACAGCTGCTGAATGACAAGTAACTGGGATGCTCAAAAGCCTGGCTTAGCCAGCAACTGCTCTCAAAGAGTCAATCTTTTTTTCCTTGTTTCTCAGAAATCTAAGTTAAAAGTGACTGTGCAGAAGAGGAATAACAGCTTGCCTAAAGATAGGAGGAAATAAAATTTATTTCCTGGCATTAATACAGCATAAAGTGCCAGGCATCAACTTCCATCAAAAGCTGAAGTTATGAGTTCCATTTCAGTTGCTCCAACACTCTCCTTTAGACAAAAATCAGTATCTAAAGATAAAACAGTCAACAAAATCTGAGGAATATGCTTGGCACATCTGCTTCCTATTCAAAGACAAGTCTCTAATTTGTCTCCTGTTTGGTTGATCAGAGGAAAGATGCGGAGAATATGCCGATTATCTTTTCTTCTCATTTTGCTTTTGAATCAACTTGAGTCTTTTCCTCCTCTTCACTTATCCCTTCAAATGTTAAATACAATTAGCTAATTCATCCATTTGATTTTAATAAGATATTCCTCTAGCAAAAGCATCAAAAGCCAATCAATTAGCCTTAAAAGCTATACAAATAAGTCTATTAGGCTCTGGAAGCCAGGAGAGTTGCCATAAAAATGCTATAAATCTAAGATAAGTTAAAATTCTTTAAGGGAAAGACACACTGGGGGGTTCAAAGGGAGAGTGACATAAAACATATATATTAGGGTGACCAGAGTTAGTAGATACGGCTTACTTACAGTTTCCAGTAAAATAAATTTCTATCTTTGGAGCTATAATGTTCTTAAATATATTTTAAAATTAGTAATCGGATTAAACTAAATGAAAGCTATTAAAGTAAAAAATATGGTTGATTTTGTCGAGGAACAAATGTATTTTTTTTAATTTTACTGTTTCAGATTGTACAAACCAAACATAAAGTCTTCTACATGACCTTTTTTACCCTAAAATAATTTATAAAGAACTCACAAATATATGAATTATTAAATATATGGCTATACATAATATATATACACTCATAAGAAATATATAAAACTTAAATTTAAAACATTATACATGGCACAAAATTAATCTGATAAAGTCAGTGGCAATCAGTGTTAGTGCCCATTACATGACAAATACATTTAATTCTTGTTATTCACGATAGTTACGCTGTTGTGAATACTGAATTAGTGAACACTAAAGCATTGTCCACAGGTGATATACATGGTTAGGTTCCTGTGAGCCCCTAAAACATTTTCTTCAACTGATCAACACATAACCTTGTTTTATGTATGTTTCTGTTTAAAGACACCTTATTTAACATATAGCTGATTCATTAACATGAGTTCAATGTCAATGAATCAGCTATATGTTAACTAAGGTGCCTTTATTTATAGTTATAGAAGCACTATATAAGTAAGTTATATTTATAGTTACAGAAGCACTATAACTCATGCTTCAAAGCAGCTTACCTAACACATGTAATTTCTCTAAGGCACACAACAGCCTTCTTTCACTTAGGAACACAAGATAGCATCTCAGGACTACACTTGGGGCCGTGTTCCTCTCTCTGTCCTTAGTTAATTAAGAAGAAAATTAATGAAGAGGTGCAGGATACCATGGACACCTGGACATGGGAAGAGAGCAGAGGCGTGAAGGTAGGGCCTCTGTGGGTTGAAGGATGACTGTATGTCGGAAACTGATCACTGAGAAGTTAATCACTCAATGCACCAAAAACAAAAAAATCTCAAACCCTTAAAAGAAGCATCTATTAAACTCTCTTCAGCTCTGTTATCATAGGTAGAAAACCCAGTTTTAATTTAAGAGTCCCCTTTGTAGAATGGACTCAGAGGAGATAATCCAGGACAATGATGTGTAAGAGACGCCCACGGAGCCTACTGAGCCCACAGAAGGGGCTGCAGAACCCATCTCTCAACCAACAGGGCAACTTCCCTCCATTAGCTCCCCAATCATAAACAATGCTCTGTTGTCCTGCTCTTATCCTATTGCCCCATCCCCCCATCCAAATTTAACTTCCCTCCCTACCTACGAAGAAATTGATTTGTTATTAACACATATGCACAGCTTTATACTTTCTCTTTTCACTAGCATACAGAAGTCAAAGAATGTTCTACTTTCTAAACAGCATACTTTGAAACTTGATAGGGACAACTGTGGACAGGTATTAAACATACGGAATTCATTAATGTGATGAGTGTCAAAGGTAGAAAACATTAACTGAAACTTAATCGAGACAGACCTGTAATTTACATTCATAAAAAGCTGAGGCACTTTGGAGCTTTAATTTGACATTAGGGAAAACAACCAGGCCGTTCTTTGGTACTTCAAGTTTTCTGCTGGCAAATGACAATTTGGTTAGACAGACTCTGAGTCTGCCTCATTACAGAAACTACTGAACTTTGCCAATACAACTAAACCCCGCAAGGAGTTTCCAGGCTACGAAATCTGCTAAATCAGCATAGTCGGACCTACCTGGATGTTCAGTAATGGTTTCAAAACTAGGATATAAGACCTACACATTAAAAATCATTTATGGTGCTAAGACAATTCTAAGAGAAAATAATAGTCATTTTAACAAATGGGCAAAAGAATGAAACTGGACCCATACCTCATATCATATATAAAATTAACTCAATGGTTCACAGACCTAAATGTAGTAAGAGCTAAAACTACACAACTCTTAGAATAAAACACAGAAGTAAACTTCATGCTCCTGAGCTTCTTACGACACCAAAGCACAAGTGACAACGGACAAGATAGCCTACATCAAAATTAAAGACATCTGTGCTGCAAATCATATCAATAAAAAAAGTGACAACTCACAAAATGAGAGAAAACATATGCAAATCATTTATGTGATAAGGGACTTGTATCTAGAATACATAACAAACTCTTAAAACTCAAGAGTTGTAAGACAAAGATCCCAGGTAAAAAACAGGCAGAGGAGGGACTTCCAGTTTCTGGTTCTGCATTTAAGGAGCATGAATGTTGCTACTCCACCCGAACAAGTAAAAGGTCAACAGACTGAAAAGGCAACACCTCTTCTTGGATCTGTAAGAGGGTAAGACACAAGGCAAACTACTGCCCCTGTGGCTGGAGAGACAGACAGACGAATGGAGGGGTTGTAGCTTACCAAAGCCGAGACCAGAGACTCCTGAGAAGTCATCGCGCTTAACAGAGCAGAGACTCCTGAGTGGAAACTGCTGTGAGAACCAGCGCTAGGGTAAGAAAACCTGAACTGTAACAAGTCTGAGAGTTTAAAACTCTGGATGGACCCAGTCACAGGCCAACTGCTACAATACTGTTAGATTTACCTCCAGTAGCTTGGCCAGGGCCCACATTATAAATATCAGAGATATGAATTCTTTTGTTTCTGGCTGGGAGAATAGAAAAGAAACTATTTTGAAAAATGCCCCAGCACTACTTTTCTTAACAAGGTCTTTTTCCCACAGGAGGAACTAGTTAACCAGAGCCACGTGATCTGCGGGGGGGGGGGGGGGGGGGGGGGGGGGGGGGGG